ATCTTTCTCCACTCAGAGAGAAAGCAGAGGGTCCCCCACACAAAGGCGGCAGCCTTGTCAATTGCGGACTCAGCCCAATTACCATCATGTATCCTTGATCTGGCTCTACTTTTAAGGAACCCAGAGTAGCAGGATAGGCCTATTGCTTCCTAGTTCCTGAGCCCTAGACCTGGAAGTCTCAAGCCCATCATACCCAGAATGCTCCACAGACCCTTCCCTGAACTCACTGGGTCTTCCCCAGAACCATTTATTTCTCCATGTTTTCCGGTGAGACCTAGGGTGTTCTTCCTTCTCCTTCACTCTGGTCTCTCCTTGGTGTTCACTTGCTCTCCCAAATAGACGTCTCAATATTGACAACATGTCTATAGTCAATCCTTATAGGCACTGAAGGAAAGTCCTGAGGGTGCTTTGTGTTGCTACAACACTAGTGACATCACAGGGAATTCCAACAGGAAACCAAGATACAAAGGAATGTTCAGAGAAGGGCCTGCTGATGTCATGGGGCACACACAAACTTTGCCTCGAGCTAATTAGTTTTCCCTGCACTGACCAGAAGCTGATGTTTCCTTTCCTAGAGTCTGCTGTAGCACACAGGGAGCCATTCAAATCTCATCTTTCCAAAGCTAGAGATTTGAAATTCAAATGGGGGAAGGGGTCTAAGAGGAGGAAAATGGGTACTCTTTAAAGAAAAGGGGGAAAGACCTAAGAGATCGAACATACTAGACATGCCAGAAAGAGTAGTTGTCTGGGCCATGTGATTTTGGACTTAAACATCTACAGAGCACATGTTGCTAACTTCTTGCAACCTGAGAAAGGAAAACACTCTTTCTTAAAACTGGAGGACCCAGGGAATACTTCTTCAGGGTCTCCACTGAAAAAAAACCCAGCTAGGAACTTCCAATTGCTTTCTAAGTAAAATCATTTATTAGGATTTGAAATTTCTCCAAGAGTCAAAGAGGCAGGATTTGGAGGCAGCCACACCTGGAAACTTCCATACTCCATAGCCAAATCATACTACAGAGCTCACCACTGACACTACCATGAATACGGGCACTGCAGTGTGTGTCACCAACAATACTGACTTTAGACAATGTGCCTGGCATTGCTTTAGAAGATGGCAACATCTATGGCTCTGAAAATGGGATATATCCTTCCCCATATCATTAAGCAGAATGGACCCCTCCATTTCTTTTTTTTTCCCTTTAATCAGAGGTTTATATTTTGTTTCCACATTACAGTTTGCTGTAATTCACAAACTTCCATCTCTGAGAATCTGGTGACACTGAACTCATGCAGTGTTAGGGCTGCAAGTCCGGCACTCTCCGCTGGCAGAGCAGCCACTGCTCAGTGACTGAGCTCACAGGGTGTTGGGGCTGTGAGTCCAGGAGTCTCCCCCAGCAGAGCCACTGGTCCTGTGAATGACAAGACCTCTCGAACATCTCATGAGCTGTTTGGGCAGTGACAGCTACAGCTTTTCACTGAGTCTTCAGTTACTAAACTGAATATGTTTTCCCTTGATACCTTATAGTCATCAGCGAGCTATTTGCTTACATAATGTGTTACATCCAATATGCTATTTTAAATGTGCGACTTAACGTTCAAGACATCAGATGCACAGTTGGCCCTGATAGCACACAAAACCGCAATACAAGTTTCAGTGTAAGACATTTACTTCTCTCTCAAAGTAAAAAGTATCCCACAATTCATATTTACATAAGTAGTGCCTTCTTTAAATAAATTAAAAACAAAATGCTATCCTGACTGTAAAATTATAAATATTTCGAGTCCATTTTGCAGAATGTTAAAACATTTACAAATGCATTATTTCCCAGTAAATAAACA